ATGCTCTGTGGCGGTTTCCCACAGGCTCGTCCTCACCAGGCTCCAGCTGGGCGTAGGTGGAAGAAATTTGTGGGTGTCTTCACATTTTGGGAGGCTGGAGATGGGTACCAAGTTTGGGATCGCTCGCCATGAGCGGCTAAGCAGGTGCCCAGAGGAGGGGACCAGGCACGTGGTTGCGTGGGGACCGGTGGGGTGTCACACCCAGCATCCTAGAAGATGCCCTGGTCTTGCGGTGGTTGCGTACCCTGGGGGAATGGGCTGGCAGCTGGTGTAACGAAGGAGCGGGCACACACATGCCTCTCGAAACCCAGGTGAGACAAGCCCCAGCCTGGGAACAGCAAGCGGGAGGGTTGAGAGCAGACACTTCAGCTTCTCCTGCGAGCCAGGTTGCGAAACAGAGCGTGGACGGCTCGGGGAGCAGGCGCTGGTGCCCACGTGTGGGCGGGATAGGGCGGCTTCGCCGAGCAGCCTGGGGGGATTATTCGCTGGAAATGTTGGGGTTTTTTTCCCCCCCTGTTAAGCAATTTTCCAAACACTTCCCCTGGAACGTTTTAACACTTGAGTTCAAAATATCTGCAGCGGAGTTTTAACACTTGAGTTCAAAATATCTGCAGCGGACGTGCGGGATGTAGAAGGAGAGGAGCCGAAGCTGGTAGCTGGTAACTGTGTGTGCCGGCAGCGATGCCAGCGGGGCCCCGGGACACGCTGTCAAGTGACAGCGGCCATGGGGAGCAATGCCTCCCTGTGCCACCACATCGAAGTTTTAAGGGCGGTTTCCCTGCAGCCGCTCAGCCCCGTGGGCTTCGCTCCTCTCCTCCCAGGGCAGCTCGGTGCCCGACAGGACCGTGGTGCCTGGCCGGAGGCGCTGGCTTCCCTGGCACAGGCACCCGGCAGCACCGGGCACCGTGCGGCGCCTTGCTTGGGTCGTAGTTGGAAATACTGCTGGAAAGGATTATGTGAGCCTTCGAGGGAGGGAGCTCCCGCATCCCCTGCCAGAACTGTGGCCACGGTGGTGCGTGCCAGGCTTCGAGCTTGGCTGAACCGAATCTAGGCAAGTGTATTTTCTTGGTGAAAGTAATTCGGGTCTTGAATTCCCTTCTTAGCACCACTTTTTCCCCCCCGAGATGGCTGGGGAGAAGAGGAAAACGATACATGAGGTGACTGCAATGGCGG